TGCTGAAGAGCCCGCTGCTGAAGAGCCCGCTGCTGAAGAGCCCGCTGTCGAAGAGCCCGCTGTCGAAGAGCCCGCTGTCGAAGAGCCCGCTGCTGAAGAGCCCGTCGCTGAGGAGCCCGTCGCTGAGGAGCCCGTCGCTGAGGAGCCTGCTGTCGAGGAGCCTGCCGCTGAAGAGGTTATTGCTGAGGCTGCCGTCGAGGAACCCGCTGCGGAAGTTTCTGCTGAGGAGCCCGTCGCGGAATCCGTCGATGAAGAAACTGCTACCGAAGCTGCCACTGAGGTGGTTACTGAATCTGCAACTGAACAGCCTTCTGCCGTCAAGGAAATCGCCGTCGAAGAGGCCGCTGCTGAGGTTGCTGGTGAAGGACCTGCTGCTGAGGCTGCTGTTGAAGAAATTGCTACCGAAGTACCCGCCGCGGAAGCCGCTAGCGATGAGCCTACAGTTGAGGAGCCTGCTGTTGAAACTTCTGCTGAGGAGCCTATCCCTGAGGAATCTATTGTTGAAGCTGCCGTCGATGAACCTGTTGTTGACAAACCTGCCATGGAAGCTGCTACTGAGGAGCCTACCACTGAAGTTCCTGATAAGGCCGTCACTGAGGAGCCCGCTACTGAAGAGCTCGCCATTGACGTTGCAGCGGAAGCTGTTGCTGAAGATTCGGTTACAGAAACTGCCGCAGCTAAAGAGCCAATTGTTGAGGAGCCCACAGTTACTGAGGAAACTGTTGAAGAAGCACCGGTGGCTACTGACCCTGCTGTCGAGGAGCCGGCTATTAAGGAGACTGCTGTGGTGGAACCCGTGATCGAGGAGACTGTTGTGACAGAAGCTGTTGCCGAAGAACCTGTCGCTGAAGAGACTCCTGTCGAAGAAGCGCCCGCTGTTTCCGAGGTTGCTACTAAGGAGATCGCCAGTGAAGAGCCTGCTGTTACTGAGGACCAGGTCATTGAGGAGTCTGCTGCTTCTCATGAAGTTCTTGCTGGTGAAGAGCCTACTCTTGCGGAGTCTGTCGCCGAGCTCGCCACGAACGATAGCACTGAAGAGCCGGTGGTAGAAGAGCCTATTGTAGAGAAATCTACTGTGGTTGAGGAACAAGCTGTTGCAGAATCTGTCGCTGAGGAGCCCGTCACTGAGGAGCCTATTGTCGAAGAGCCTGTTGTCGAAGAGCCTGCTGTCGAAGAGCCCGCCGCTGAAGAGCCTGCTGTTGAAGAGCCTGCTGTCGAAGAGCCCGCCGCTGAGGTGCCCGCTGTTGAAGAGCCCGCTGCTGAGGAGCCTGCTGTCGAAGAGCCTGCTGTCAAAGAGCCCGTCGCTGAGGAGCCTATTACTGAAGAGCTCGCTGTTGAGGAGCCCGCCGTCGAAGAGCCCGAGGAGCCTGTCGCTGACGAGCTCGTCACTGAAGAGCCTACCGTCGAAGAGCCTTCCATCAACGGAACAGCCGCAGCCTTAGCTGGAGTCGCCGCAGTTGCTACTATAGCAGCCATGGAATCGGTTGGAGATGCAACTAATGCCCAAGAATCGGCCATCGAAACGCTTGTTCCGAAGGAAGCACCGGTTGAGACTGTTCAGGAGGAACCCACGGCTGACACTTCTGTACAAGAAGAATCTGCACCTGCCGAAGTGGCTACAGAGGAAACAATTGTCAAGGAGGCTCAAGAAGAGCGAATTCCCGAATCGCCCACAGTCGAACCTTCAACCTCTGCTGAGGCAACCTTGCTGACTCCTCCCCCAGAGAAGGCGGATGAGGAACCTTCTGCACTTCCTGAGTCTGAGACTGTTGATACTCAAAAAGAAGTCTCTACCGTTGCCGAGCCTCTCACTCCCGTGGAATCTGTGACGTTCACAAATGGTGTACACGCCGAGGAGACGCAAGAAGAGGCTCAGGCCGTTGCTCCTGTAGAGTCAGCCGAGGTAGACGTCTCGGTGCCGGAGGAGGAAGCTGCCCGTGAAGAGGGTAGTGGTTTCTCCGCAGTGCTTGGAGCCAGTGCGGCTGTCGCTGCCGCTGGTGCAGCCATGGCTGGAGTGGCCGTTTTATCGGAAGACCATAGCAGCAAACCCGTGCGGGATCAGGCCAACGTGCCTCCCGCCGATGATGAGACTGCCAGTCCTGCCGCCTCTCAACTCCAACCAACAGAAAGTAAGCAGTTTCAGCCATCCATCGCACACGAACCGCCAACCCCTGAGCCCGAAGCTGATCCAGCCCTTGTAGCACTCGCCGGCGATGGTGAGGCCCTCCTCAGAAAGCTCGAATTACCGTCCACCGAACAGCTTGCCCCGGGTCCCAGTGGATATGAATCAAACGCCGACGTCGAGGAAGACTTTCACACCCCGGTCACCAAGGATTTGATCCAGGAACCGCAGCCCCCGGCGCCAACCGTGGAAGATGCTTCTCCCTCTTCATCAGAACCCAGTTCTGATAAGGCATTGGCCAATAATGGTGATGGGGACGCTCGTCCTCCGAGTCAGAATCGGTCAGTCACAGCTGTTTCCCTGAGTAGTAAGCACGATAGCTGGCTCAAAGCCATTTTGCGCACGGTCTTTGTCAGCTTCATTGGCAGCATTTTTGCACCGTTTCGGCGCCGTGGAAGAGCATCCCAGTGAGGGTAGTCTTATGGATACTCTTCTGGGACTTGCCTTCCCAAGACCGAGAACAAGACAAGAGGAGAAAGATGTCTTGTATCGCTAGAACTAACATAAAGTCAGGAACCTGTTCTTGATGGCATTTGTCGCTGCTCCCCTGCTTGCCCTCTTTTGGCGTGCATATACCCGATAATTGTTTGGACCTTGCTTGTCTCAAATGTTTCGCTCGTTTTTGACCTTTTTACCGGATTCCCCTGTACCGATACTGTGTGCATTATTTTCGAGGAATCTTTCGTGTTTCTACGTCCTCCCCGCTCTGCGTTTAATCGTGCTGTTTTATTTCGCCCTTTGTCCGTTTGCGTTGCTGTTTCGATAGTAATCCATCTCCCTGTCCAATGCGTTGTCGATTGGTCGTCTCTCTTTCGAATGTAACGACGTCAGCTATGATAATGATGATGATGAGAATTAATGAAGGTATGAGTTCTTTTTTGCCGTGCTTCTTGATATCTTGAATTCTTGAATTGGCTTCATGCTGCATTCCTTTCTATGGAAGCTCGATCTTCTGCGTTAGATATGTAGTCTTATGGGTTTCTCTTTTCCATGGTGAGTTTCGATTCTGCGCCGCTTATAAAGCATAGAGAGGGTCCTATTCTTAAAGAAAGGAGAGTCTTGTTGGTTAGATTTCTGCAGTTGCATGTATGTGGTTGGTGTTTTCCAGATTCTATATCCCCCAGATTGCCCCTTTTGCAGCTTGATATCTGAAAACTGCTCTGTTCTTCAACATCTTGATAGGAAAGGGGATCGACAGACTGTTCCTGAGAGAGGAGACCCAAAGGGGACCTGAAGTTTGAACAGGAAAAGAAGTTTGACCCCTGCTGGTTTAATCACAGGTGATGTTTGCCTGAGGACTCTAGTTGCTAGGGACTCTCACATTCACTTTGATGAGCTGCTAATCAAAGCACTGGAACGATTTAACAGCTAAATGCTTCAACACAGAGACCAAGCAACACACAGCGTGAAACAGAAGAAACCCTTGAATGTTTGAAAGCTTCGACAAAGCTCTAGAAACATAAACTGGGAATAGAACGCCTGCAACTCTTGAACCCTTTGAGGTAACACCCAAGAGCCACTCCTCAAGTGGAACGACAAGAGACGCGTCCAGATATCAGTAAGGCTTTCTCTCTGCTTTCTCTTTCCCTTTCCCTAGGCTTTCTCTTCTCCTCTCAACACACTGTCCACAGAAAACCCAAGGAGCAAAGTCACCCTGACACACACTGCCCTCACAGCTTGCATCTTGGTTTTCCTTGCTGAACTCAAGGGCTTTAGCTCCTTTTGCCCTTCTTTAACGCACCGTTCTGTCTCGAAATGGATCGCACTCATACCTTGGGCGTTGATCCAGCTGGTAATGTCTCCCCTCGTGTCCGCATCCCCAGCATGGCGTCTTCAATCAGCAGCGGCAACGCTTTTGCTCAGATGAAAGAAAACGAGCGTCGACTGCCAGCGAGTCGCTCTGCGTCTCGTGTCAATGAGTTGTTCGCAGTGATACCCCTCAGACCCCCAAATAGACCCCTGAGCCAGGCCTCTCGTAAGTCTTCAGCTTTCCTCGACTATGAGAATGGGCTTGCGCTCCCGATGCCCAAGCTTCCTCATAATGTCGCCTCCGATGCGACTTTGGGCCAGCAGACCCCAAACCAGGCCGCAAAAGATCATGGCGAATCGAGCAGCAAAGTGAGTAGATGCCCTATCGAGAAAAAAACACAAATAGAACACATGGAAAACGACGCAAAGCAAGACATAGGGAAAGAAGAAAAAGAGAGAAAACAGCCCCTCCCCCTGACCCCATGAAAGCACAGGCAATTTGGAAGAATGTTGCTGAAAAAGAAATCAATAGGTTGCCCCTATCATAACCGCCGGTGAAGAGAAAAATGTCACTGCTGAGAACCATGCCGGCCAAGACTCTCCACAGGAAGTCCGGATGTACATGCCAACCGCGGTGCAGGCAGGAGTGCACCCTTTGTCGGCGCCTCCTCATCAGAATTGTGTCAGCATTGTCGACGTTCCGGCCCTGAGCAGGCCCAACCGAGTGAGATCTGCTCCATCCACCCCCATTTTGAGCCGCCGCTCGGTGCCCTTGACTGGAGAAATCAACGGCAACGACGAAGCCGAGCTCAAGAGGTAAGCCTGAGCCCAAAGAAGCCTGGCTTGCTGCCCGCCCGCCCACAAGCCGGGGTCTTCTTAAGCCTGTTTCATGATATTCATGTGGTGTTTGGTTTTGCTGATAGCAGCTTATTTTTCGGTCGTAGAATCTCTTTTACTCGGGGTGAAGTCGTCAAGAATCACACAACCCAGCATGAAGAGTACAACAGCGAGGCAGGCCCCTCCAGAGGCTCTGCCATGAGCGTTGGAAATGGTTATTTCGAAAACAATCGCCCCTCATCGTCCGCAGTACCTGGTAGTCGTAATGGTGAAGGTCAGGCTGCGAGTTTGCAAACTCTTCCCAACCAGAGTAAGTGCTCTGATGCTTCTTTTTTCCGAGGAGGTTTGGAGGGTACAGACCATCAAACTAACCTTGGCTTAGTTGGTATTGGCATTCAGCCTGGCTCGACTGATTTCACAACCTTTGGAGGGTTTGCTCCTCCTCCACCGCACCCAGGGTACCGCAATACCCCAACACTTGAGCAGGTCCTGGCGATGCACATGGAAACGCTTCACCATCATATGAATCTTGGTACAGAGCGCATGATAAAGGTCTATAGTGACACGACTAGCTATACCTCTGACCAGATGCTTCGTAGCATCGAGGGTCTCCAGGACACAAGCCGCTCGCTGAACCTTCGGGCCACGGGCCAGGCTGAGACTGCCAGACAGCTGCGGGATCTGATGCAGCAGCTCCGGTCTGAACTTGACGTCCTCCGCAGAAACAGCCGTTTGATGGAGCAACGCCTGATGGATCATGTTCAGCAGGAGCTGACAAAACTAAGGGATGAGCTTATCTCTATGACCCAGCTTTCTCCGGAAATGCAGGCGGTCCCTGGGCCTGAATTGCCCCTGGAGTCCCAGCCCTGCCCGTCTACCGCTCAGGAAGGAGGCAAGAGAGTCTGGGTAGGCCGAAGACTCTTAACTCTCAAAACAACCAACAAGGAGGGCGCGTCCATCAAAGAGGACAAAGGAAAGCAAAAATTAGACCATGTTAATATCTCAGAGGAAGGTGAAATCTTTGAGAAAGAGGGAGAGAGAAATGGAAGTGTTATTCCTCTCCTTCTAGGCAACGATGAGCATCATCTTCTACCCTCTACCGCAGGATTCCGTACCCCTCAACTGGCGGGTCCTCTCACCCCAGTGCAGAGTCTCACTGATATTTCCTCAGCTAAAGAGACGGCTGGGTCTGAGAATCAGGATAAGAACACCAGAGCTCAGGAGAAAATCCCAGAATCTAGTACTAATCCTGGTGATAATATTCACAGAGCTGAGGGTGAGGAGGACAAGATTCCTGCTAGAAAGTACTGGGGATTCACAAGGCGACGCCGAGAAAGTGAACACCGTGAGAACCGCACCAGCCTCACTCGTTTGCTCAAGACTCCCCGCAAAGATAAAGAGGGCAAAGAGAAAGGAGCAGTCCCTGATTCCCCTACTCGACCTAGTTCTGCATCCGGGCTGCAGACTCTGACACACCCAATCCCTCCTGTTCCTCCTCTTCCTGCACGGTATGCCTCACAACCGAATCTCCGCCAGGCCGCTGCAGAGACGAGCCCTAGCTCTGTCCACCCAGCTTTCCGTACGACCCGGCAGCAGCAGCAGATGCGAGAACGGGAACGGAACCGCCAGCGTGCCAATTTGCCGCCTATTCCTCGCTTTGGGAACCTGAACGTAAACCAGCACCCCGTCAATGCAAATGCCCGGGGCAATAGGTCTCTCGACATTAACTATCGGGCTCCGGCCCCTGTGCAGCCAAACTCGGTTGGCCACGGACAACACAATACGACCATGCCGCAGGTCTTTGGCCCCCCTGCGCCGGTAAACCCAGGGCCTCCTCAGATCATGCCTGCCTTCCACTACGGGGGCGGTCCATACGATCCTGCCGCGAGACCTCACAGCAACCGTGTGAATGGTTCGGTTCCTCCTCCCCAGGCGTTTCCTACTGGGGAAACATTTCCTATTGGTGAATGGAGCCATGCCAACTGGTACCAGAACGCCTATCCCCGCGAGCAATAGACTCATTCTTGAAACCACTGCTATCTGAGTTGGAATGAGGACCCCAGCATTTTCTTCGGCGGACACGAATCATGGTCTTACCAACTGCTTGCTCTTCTGGCTATGGTTATGGTCATCCTTCATGACTACATTCTATGGCTTTCTGTCTTACTGATTCTGGCTTTCATGACTCTATCAATGGTTTGAAATTATGCCTTTCATGTTATGTCATGCTAGAGCAGTCTTTCCGGCCTGGTATTCTTTTTCATAACTCCCTTGTTTTTGCTTGACGTTTCCCCAATCCATTCTTTCAATTTGTTTTTTTTTTTTTAAAAAAGGGAGGGGGGGGGGCTTTTTGAAAGTCGAGTTGCGGTCTTTGATTTTATCCAAAGTGCTGGCGCTTTTCAAACCCTTTTTATTGTGGATCACGGATCTTTCTTTCAGGTCGAGAACTAGAATTTGCTTCAGCTAGGCTGACTGTGGTTGATGATCTTACTGGGTACTGGTGACTTGGTAAGATTTCTGGAAAAGGGGGGTTTAGAGTAACATAAGTGGTATTCATGAGAAGATTATGTAGGAATGCAGTTAAGTTCAGTGCAGTGCAGTCTATAGGCTATGCTATTTTAGGGAAGCAATCATCTTCTCCATATCCAACGCGGCATCTCTCACCTGCGGGCAGTAATGATGGCGCAGGAGCTCGCCCTCCCAGACCGTGCCCGCGAAGACGTTTGTGCTCTCCACATCTGGAGCGTAAGCGTTGAAGACGCCGTCGCCTCTGCGGTCCTCAGAATGCCACAGCGGGGAGATGCGCCGGCCGTGGTGCTTTGTGACCTGGTTCAGCAATGAGAGAGTGGCTAGAGCCGACTTCTCCGGCACCTGCAGCGAGGTTGTCATGAGCCGTTTGGTGAAACCCGCCAGGCGGACAGGCGGCGGGATGCCGTGAGCCCGTGACAGCAAGGTCGATTGCAGACAGCGGAGGAGCAGCACCGTTGGTGTCTGGAAGTTCACCTTGTTCCGCCGAGGGCGGGGGTTCGCACTGCCATCTTCTTCCCCTTCCCCTGCCCCGGACGTCGGATCTGGCAGCCGCAGGGACTTGTTCGGGTTGAACTCGACGTCTGCGTTCGTCGAGAGTGAGTACAAAGAGCGATACAGGTGTTTGATAAAGAAGCTCAGATCCAGGTGGAGTGATGCCGCTGCCTTGCTGGCGTCCTGGCCTTCCAAGAGCGCAAAAGCGGTGACTGTGCAGAGCAGGGCTTCACGGTTGGTATCACGGGTCGAGTTGGAGGGAGCGTCACCCATCATATCGTCATCATCCCCTTCGTCGTCGTTGCCTTCATCTGCCTCCGCATGGGCGATCAGATCCTTCAGAGCCTCGAGCAAGTCACCAAAGAAATCCTGGTTGATCAGGTGCGCATACTTGGCCAGGCCCTCAAGGACGGGACCCATGAGCGCCGGACTGCGTAACTTGAGAATCCGGAAATACGTAGCGAATACAAGCTTGAGGGTCTCGGCTTGGTTCTTCTCCCTCTCTTCATGAGAGACCAAGGCATCTGCCTGCTTCATGTCCTTCTCCACAATCTTGCGTTCCTTCAGGATTTTACGCTCCTTCTTCGTCCGGAACTCTCGCTTCTGCTTCTGCTTCTTCCCCGTGGGCTGGTCTTCCTCCTCCTCTTCCGTGGTACGGCGATCAACCCGGTCTCTCGATGCCTTGGACGAAAACTCTGACAGCAATCGAAGATGCAAAAATGTGTCCAGGACACTGTCGTGGACATTAAAATCTCTGGCTTTCATCATTTTTGAAAGTAATCGGACGGCTTCAAGGGAGACGATGCCATCGTTATCTTTGTTGAAGACCTCCTCCAGCGTTTCGCGACACTTGATAAAGTCTCCATCCACTTTCCTCCGCGCAAGACGGTTCACGAGGATCTTCAAGAGCTCGTTGCGGAAGTTGAAATGGGGGACTCCGAGTAGAAGATTACAGGCACAGTTGATTGCGATTGTGCGCAATCCCTCATCCAACGACTCGCCCTTGGCCGGCTTCGCGAAAGAGGCAAGGCGCTGCACGTAGTTTCGATATCCCGAGAGGAGCGACTGCTCGAAATTTCGGAGTTTGCGTACCTCCTTGGAAATCTTCGAAGAAAGATCGTCCTCGCCAAGCGGCCGAATCCGGTACCCCGGAATCATGTCCTTGTAGATTGCAGCCTGGGCGGCCAGCGCCAGTTTCTTAATGGCAACATGCCCGGCGTTGTCCACCATTTCGGCTAACGTCCTCAGTGACGAAATGTGCTCCTCAGGATCCTCATTGACCAACGTCGCAATTCGGGCAATCTCCTCCTTGGCTTGTATGACCTGAAGCTTCAAGGGAATCTTTGGTGTCTCTTCCTCCTCTTCATCAGAATCATCTGTCCCGTCCGCCCCGGCGGTTTCACCCGCCTCATCGTCGTCCGTATCCAGAAAGCTGTCTGCATCCCCCTCTGAGTCTTCCGAATCTACCACATTCTCCACAAGCCCCTCTGTCGTCTTAATCGGCAGCCTGGTGCGTTCTTTGTCCTTCTTGCTGCCCTTTCTCGGACGGCGCTCATAGTCTTGCTCGAGGTCCCATTCTGCCGCGGCGCTGTAAAACTTGCCTAGAGCAGCTTCGCGGGACTTTCGTGAAGATGATTTAGCCTCGTCTTCAGGAGGACTTAAACGTCTCCTCTTGGTCGAATGCGCTAACGCCATTGTGATTCGGATAGGAAAGTAGCCTTGGCTTGGGAATGGACTGTCGTGCTCTCCGCAAATCCAGCGACTTTTTTTTTTCGGCGTGCCAAGACTTCACGCTAACTGCTCCACTCTCTTGAATTTTTGTTCCGCAGAGCTTCAGGAATATCAAGCTACAAGCGGTTGTCCTGCGATTTATTTCGAAGGAACACACTGCTCTTAGATTTGTGATTTCATCTAGAAAGGGTATCGCCCATTGAAACCGTCAAGATGCGGCCTTTGACAGAGACAGAGACGCAGGTGAGTCCCGGTGCTTCCAAGGCGTTTACCAAACCAGTTTCACTGACCGATTGTCGTCGCAGACTCTGTTTTCGAAGCTGGCACAGTATACCGGCCGGTCTTTGAATAACCTGATTCTCCCGTCCGGTGGGGATGACAACGACCGGAATGTATTCCGTCTCCACGGGTCTCGGGTGTACTTCATGCGTCTCTCGCTCGCGAACTTGGCCACCTCAATTCCTCGCGATAACCTGCTGTCCCTCGGCACTTGCATCGGCAAGTTCACAAAGACTGGCAAATTCAGAGTAGCGATCACCGCGCTGGATGTGATTGCGCCGCACGCGAGGTATAAGGTGTGGATCCTTCCCAAGGGTGAGATGAGCTTTATGTACGGTGGGAACGTCGTCAAGGCGCACGTCGGACGGTGGAGCGAGGATTGCCCGGAACATCAGGGAGTGATTATGTATGACATGAATGATACACCCTTGGTAAGAATGCTGTGGACCTGCTACTTTGGCGAGATCGAAGCACTGACTCCATTTTACAGGGTTTCGGTGTCAGCACCAGAGCGTCTAATCAACTCAAGCAATTGAGTCCAACTGACATTGTCGTTGCGAGACAAGCCGATATAGGAGAATTCTTGAGATCTGTACGTGAATCCCTAATAACGGACGAGTGTCCAGGACAGCCAGCTAACTTTTCACAGGAAGACACTCTGTTCACAACCTAGGTCAAGAGTCAGAAGCAGAAAAGTGTTCATGGAGTTTAATAACCATATGTACATGGAGTTAAGGAGTTTGCACAATCATATAAATCCACTGTTCAGACCTCGCATTACACCCAGCTGTGATAATTCCTCCTTCACGTAGTTAAAGCGTATCTTGTAACTGGTATTAAGCCTCATAGAGCCAGTAGTAGATATAGGCAGGCATATAGACATATTTTCATGACTATCGTATGTCTCATGGAATATTCTGATTCAATCTACAGCATATCAGAAAATACCTCCAAAACTCACCCCTCCAGGGCCAATACCTGTCATTTCCTAAAGTGGCAAAGTGCCGATTTGTTATCAGCACGTGGGATAAAAAGTCAGCTAAACCCTTTTTGGCTCCATCTCCTTCCATTCGCCGCGGCAGAAAGAATGACCTTTGAAGCTGTTGCGGAAACGAGACAACTTCTCTCAGAGAAGGCTCTTGCTCTCCTCTTGCTCTCCTCGCTGCTCTGTCCAGCAGCCATCTGAGAGACCCAGGCATCTCCCTCCTTTGCACGCAGAGGGATCAATCGGCTTTTTCTTACCTCTGGATCCATTCCTTTATCGCCTTTTTCCTTGTATACATACACCCTCCGCCAAGCAACTGAGGGGCTGAAGCTCACCCCCCGCCATTATGCCACCATACACTGCCGCCCAGAAGCAGTACATCACCCAGTTTGTCAACTTCACTCAGGCGAAGGATGCAGCAGCCTCCAAGGTACTTAGAGATCAGATTTGATGCCTATAGGGCGTGTTGCGCTCTGTACACACTGTCTGGATTCAGAGTGGAGCGTCATTTCACACGAATCTATATATGGTGTTGTGTGCTGATGATTTGGGCTCTATCTAGTTCCTACGAGCGCATAATTGGAATGTTGAGGAAGCCATCGATGCGTAAGTAATATTATTTATCAAAGGCATTCATATTCTGTTGTCATTTTTCCCCCTTTCTCCTGGGGGGATTTCTCCAGAGCAAGTACCCATTGGTTTTTACTACAAGCAAACACCACAGCCTCTGAATCACACCTATATCTGCCACTATAGTGGAAATCCTGGTACTCTATATAGGTTCCACGGCTTGAAAGCTTCCCAGACGTCTCAGGGTCTCCAAGATGGGCATCACCTATTTATAGGCACAAATGAGCTCTGCCTCTTTCAACATGCTACCTGATGCGGGCGACGTAGCAGTGGCTTTTGAAGGATGGCGAGGGGTTTTAAAATAAGAAAAATAGTTCCTAAAGTGCCGTGACCTCTTATATACCTATCCACTGTCCGGATACCATCATGAGGGACAGCTGTATTTTGGAAAGTGACTTTGCAGATGACTTACTGGGCGCGAAATGGCGCCATGTTTTGTGCTGTACTGATTGTATTTCCTAACTGTACATATACTAATTGTTGGTTTTTAGATATTTCCAGAGCCCGCAAGGATCTTCGGGGGTGACGGCAGCTATCGGGAAGATCTTCGATGAATACAGAGGTACGAATGAGAGTCCGTCTGTGTCTTTGCTCTGTGGTTCTCATTATGATTCAGACTCACCAGAAGACAACCCGGACGGTATTGGAATCGAAGGGGCCATCAGGTTTCTTGGAGATATCCAGGTACGGCTAGACGAAGTAGCATGTCTGGGCATTGCGGAACTACTTAACTCGCCATCCATGGGCGAATTCACCCGGGAGGGTTTCGTCAATGGATGGAGATCCGTGGGGTATGCTAAATTGATTCTATACATACATCTACCTATATACTGACTGACTGCCTAGATGTGACTCTGTACCCAAGATGGTCTCGCACGCTGAGAGTCTCCGCCTTCGCATTCCTGCAGAGCCAGAGGTCTTCCGCCGCGTGTACCGGTTTGCATTTCCTCTGTGTCGGATGCAAGGGCAGCGCAATCTTCAGTTCGATATCGCAGCAGAGCAGTGGCAGCTATTTTTCACACCGGAAAACGGGGGCGTGCAGTGGAACACGCCGACAACTCCCTGGCTGGACTGGTGGATCACGTATCTGGATGAGAAGGGCAAGCGGCCCGTTAACAAGGATCTGTGGGAACAGGTCGAGGTATTTCTGCGCAAGACACGCGCCGACGAGAGCTTTAGTTGGTGGAGTCCCGACGGGGCGTGGCCCGGAGCGCTGGATGAGTTTGTTAGCTGGGTGCAGGACAGGCGAGGCAAGCCTGGCACCGAGGCCATGGATGTCGAATAAATTAGCCAGTACAAAGCATCCACTACACAATACTTACCTTACTACCAGGATGAGTAGGATGTAGAATACATGCAGACCAAAACCGTACTATGTATAATTGTATTTATTTCAACCATAACCAATCGGTAGGGTAGGACATTCATCATAAAAAAAAGCGGCATATGTTACTCGTCTCGAAGCAGAACAGGGAACCGGGGGGAAGAGATAAAATCACATGCGGGGGACAAGGGGGACAAAGGAAATGACAGAGGAAATTTGCGATAACCATTTGTACTTCACACAGAAGCTCTGGTATATTATCTAGATTCTGGAATCAGGAGGGATTCTGGATTGTTTTTCTTGTCTTGTCATCCACGGGGCCGGTGTTGTCAAAAGTGGTGGATGACACGCGCTGACCAGAAATCAAGGGAAGTCCCTCATCTAATATTCGCCTCCGGGGCCACGGCGCTGATCGTAGTGCTATAAGAAAAGATTAGTGGTCATTCTTTTTTTTTCTCTTTTAGGGAAGTCAATTGGACGGGCTCACCTTGCGTAGCGCTTCAAGGCGCTTCTTCTTAGTGTGAGTGTTGACGTAGGTTCCGATGATGAAACCGATGATGTTGAAGAAGGGGACCCAGGCGTGCTCCGGCAGGAACTTTTGCGCAAAGGCCAGCGCAAGCGGCGAGGTGATCCAGCTGACCTTCATGACGGGCATGAAGCCCGCGCGGATGGTGGCGCGCACCTGGTGGAAGGTGCGGGCACCGGCGATCACGGCCATGCAGGACAGGTAGACGACGTTCTGGATGGGCGAGATCTACAATGCTTATTAGTATTCGAAGAGCCGTTTCCTTGAGCCCTGAGGAAGGAAAACATACAATCAAATTGCTGAAGAGAATCTGCAAGACCTTGGCCTTCAAGCTGGTGCGGCCGGCAAACAGCTTCTGGAGGATGCCGATGAGCAGATGGCCCAGCGGGGCGCTAATGAAGGTGCCGTAGAGCATCATTTTGGGGATGCGCGAGCTGAAGTAGTGGCCATGCTTGCCGACATCGTGCGCGATCCACGAGGCGAGGAACTCTTGCAGACCCGACAGCACACCGGAGGTCACCATCTTGGTGCGCATCGGGTTCGACTGCAGCTGGCGGAGATACAGCTAGAAAGCGTGAGCGGGCGCTCTTCCTTCGATATCACCACCACCACCACCACCACCGTTACTATCCCAGAGTCACATACCGTAAGATAGCCATTGGCCGTGCTTCCTCCAGTCAACCGCTCGCCGATGTTATGCACCAGCTCCTTGGTTTCCGCCCGCAGAGACTCCGGGGCCTGGTTGACCACCTGCTGGACGGTCTCTTGCTGGAACTTGACAGACATGGCGGCGGCAGGCGACAAGCAGGAGAGAAATTCGGTATCAACGTCGGTGTCGTCGTATTCGTCGTCGTCGGTCTCGAGCGGGTCGAACGGAGGCGGTCGGACGAGTGTTAGGCAGTTCGGCGTGCAATGGAGCGGTCAATCGCGCTACGAGGTGTCAGAAGAGAGCTTGCAACAAGGTCAAAGGTCAAGGGCGGCTGGGAATCGAGCTCGGCACGAACATCCAGCAAAACAAACTGTGGGGTTGGGGCGAGGGAGTGAAAGGGGGCGTGTTTGTTTATCGCCGGGGGGGG